TTTGCATTCATCAGGTTCGCACTTGCTGACCTTTGTACGGCCATTTTGTCATCTGAGCGTCATCGGAAGAAGAACCCATCTTCTGCAAGGGGAGAACTCGCATATGAAAGTATCATTGCGGAGTTACTCGCTGACAAAGAAAAACTTTCTGCAAATGATCTGGCGCAAGCTCTTCGGGGGCTCTCGATCGCGTATGGAAGAGTACCTGAGCGGTTCGATGGCATTGAGAATTTGGTGAGTTATTGGTTTTTATAGGAGACCACCTCTTTGAATGAGAGTTGATTTCAAGCTGGTGTGGTATGTCTTGTTGGAAATATCGACAACTCGACGAGAGCTGTTGATATGGAATAGCATGCTGAGAAAAGTTGGAGAACAACTCCTGACATAGCCGAGAAATTACAGCTTGGGACTTTGCAGGCTTGCATCCCGATGATGTTTTTGAGTTGTTGTTGTTGTTGTTGTATATGTTGTTGTATATGTTGTTGTTGTATATGTTGTTGTTGTTGTTGTTGTTGTTGTTGTTGTTGTTGTTGTTGTTGCTGTTGTATATGTTGTTGTTGTATATGTTGTATATGTTGTATATGTTGTATATGTTGTTGTTGTATATGTTGTTGTTGTTGTTGTTGTTGTTGCTGTTGTATATGTTGTTGTTGTATATGTTGTATATGTTGTTGTTGTATATGTTGTATATGTTGTTGTTGTATATGTTGTTGTTGTTGTTGTTGTATATGTTGTTGTTGTTGTTGTTGTTGTTGTTGTTGTTGTTGTTGTTGTTGTTGCTGTTGTATATGTTGTTGTTGTATATGTTGTATATGTTGTATATGTTGTATATGTTGTTGTTGTATATGTTGTTGTTGTTGTTGTTGTTGTTGCTGTTGTATATGTTGTTGTTGTATATGTTGTATATGTTGTATATGTTGTTGTTGTATATGTTGTTGTTGTTGCTGTTGTATATGTTGTTGTTGTATATGTTGTATATGTTGTATATGTTGTTGTTGTATATGTTGTTGTTGTTGTTGTATATGTTGTTGTTGTTGTTGTTGCTGTTGCTGTTGTATATGTTCTTGTTGTATATGTTGTATATGTTGTATATGTTGTATATGTTGTTGTTGTTGTCGTATATGTTGTTGTTAACGTTATGAATCTTCCTAAATTGCCTAGACTTGGTTTCAATAGACCAGTGAGATTGTGAAACGTCCGAGCTTCGAAAGGAGCACACTAAGCGAGCTCCACCCCTTCATCACGAAGACCTACTTAACATAGCGTGTAGAGAAATCGCGAGTAGTTTGTTTCGGCATACACGCAGTAGACGCGGTTGTTAAGCTATGATAAATATAGTAATTTTCGAGCAGACAGATGAATTTTCAAAGTTATGAAAGACAATTGTGTAAAACATTTTCTCCTACTCTGCACGTGACAAGTTGATGTAAATATGTTTGTTCGCAATATGTTCTACATGCGTTTTTGACATGTACACGTTTTCACGCGTTTTATGGAGTTTCAGCCTAGTGATATGAAAAACATATTTCATGACTAGTGCATATCACCGCGAATATCGCGTTTTTCACAGAGTATTACGCCACTTCACGTAAAACGGGTGAAACTCCTATATATGCGTTTTTACATGGAGTATTATGTCACTTCACGTAGAGCGGGTGAACTTGAAATTAGTTATCGTTGAAAAAAACAGAAATTTTCTGTAATTTCGAAATGAGAAAATTCCGTGGATATCCTAGAGGACTATCGTTTACATTTCTTCAGCTGAGCTCGGGAGTTTACTCACTTTTTTATAATGGAGTTTCACCCTAGTGATATGGAAAACACTAGTGGAAAAATATATTTCACGACTATTGCAAGGCGGAAATATCGCGTTTTTCACGGAGTTTTACGCCACTTCACGTAAAACGGGTTGTGAAACTCCAATGGATAGAAATGTTACCAACACGAAAAAGAAGCGGAAAAAAACTAGAAAAAAATTTCCTGGGAAAAAATTATGGTGAAAATAATAGTTAAATTTTTCTCCACAATTTAGGCTGAAGCGTTGTTGGCATGTAAAGAGCCCCCAAGAGCCCTGGCGTTTAGCGTGGCTTCGCTCATCGACTTGAATTTACCAAACCATGCATATCAACTTTTAAGGAAGCATCTGGACGTTACGGAAAAGGTAGGAAGTGAAAACTTTTTTCCAAGTCAGTGTTGGAGGAATATATGTGTTATGCCAGTGAGCAAATGATGCACATCGTGAAACGCTTCGCTCCGCTGTGGCCGAGACGAAGCGATTCCAACATGAAATCTATGGACGCCTTTCTCACGTATTGAGTCTGATGCCTATCAACTATCCTGACTGGCATAACAATATGTTTACGTACGAATTACGGTAGAAGTGTGCGAAAATAATAGAGAATTTCCCTAGGATTTTTCATATTGTCACCAACACGTGTTGATATTGGAGGAATATATGTTCGCTTTCCTCAGCTGAGCCTAGGAGTTTCCTCGCTAATTATATTTCCAAAGAAAAGAATGAAAATTTCCGCTAAATTTTCCCACAATTTTCATATTGTCACCAACACATGTAGTTGACCATATGCATATTTTTTCATGCTGATTTTTCCCCTCAGAGAAAAATCCGATCTACTCGAAATGCAGTTGAAATTATACGAGTTATGACGAGATTGAAAAGCAGTGAAGACAGAAAGTGGTGGCGTGCAGCAGTAGATACGCTTTACTGTGATGTGGTATGAGCTGTCGTGATGAGATTTAGTGACAGACTCTGGATTTAGGTGACAGGTCTGGCTTCCCTGAACACCACCCAAGCACTGATTCTACTGCGAGCAATAACTGAGGGGCGCACAAGTAGAGTGTATCCTAGTAAAGAACTATATAAGGGGATTGTGCCCTTGCTGATGATGGAAATTTTGCGAGAAATCAGTAAGAATTTTTACCATTTTTCCCCTGATTTTGAATTTTCCGACGCGTTTTTTAAAGATTTTCTTGTTGTTTACGTAAGTGGCATGGCGCCGAAAAAGGGCTCATCCGTTGTAATTTTCTGGCGAGTGACGGTTGGTGAATATATTATTTGGGGTTGAAATCTGCATAGTAGTTTTATTAGCAGACGAAATTTCAATTGTTTACTTTTTTCCTCTAATTTTGAATTTTTTCCCGCTTTTTCCCAGCTTTTGGGAGGGGAAAATTGCGATGAAAATATTCTGGAATTCCTATCAGAGTTTCGGATTTGTGTTATTCTTGGAAATGTCAACATTGCTATGAACATGTGATGTGACAAAAGTTACCTTTCCGAGACTGTGATAGCGACAAGTTGTTCACTATCATTAATCCCGGAATAGAAAAAACGACGCACATTCTCCACATTTGCATATCAAATTGGCATGCACTGTATTGTTATTAAACATAAACAATGTTAACAATGGCTATGAACATGTGATGTGATAAAAGGAACCTTTCGAGACTGTGATAGCGACAAGTTGTTCACTTTCATTAATCCCGGAATAGAAAAAAACGCACATTTTCCACATTTGCGTATCATTTTCAGGAACTCTCCCACCAAGTACAATAGCATTCACTTTGCGGAGTTGTGTGAAATTGCAATATTGGGATTCGGATTTTCTGGCGGGCGCCTCGAAGGTTTTTCTTGATAAAATGGAGGAGTAAGTAGAGGAAAAAATATGCACATATGAGCATATGACGAAATTTTGGTTGATTTCTGTACATTTCTACCCGAATTCTTGTAAAATTAGTGAGAAAATATGCACATGGTCAACTGCATATGACGAAATTTTGGTTGATTTCTGTACATTTCTACCCGAATTCTTGTAAAATTAGTGAGAAAATATGCACATGCTCGACGGCTAGGACGAAAAAAATTTCTCAGAATCTCTGAGAGAATTTTCGGAAATTTCGTGTTGGTTTTTATGCACTTCTGCCCTGAGTGGTGTGTGAATTGTTATGATTATTGAGGAAACTCCTGAGCTTAGCTGAGGAAAGCGAACATATATTCCTACTCCAACACTGTATAGGAAACTCCTGAGCTCAGCTGAGGAAAGCGAACATATATTCCTACTCCAACACTGTATAGGAAACTCCTGAGCTCAGCTGAGGGGAGCGAACATATATTCCTACTCCAACACTGTATAGGAAACTCCTGAGCTCAGCTGAGGAAAGCGAACATATATTCCTACTCCAACACTGTATAGGAAACTCCTGAGCTCAGCTGAGGAAAGCGAACATATATTCCTACTCCAACACTGTATAGGAAACTCCTGAGCTCAGCTGAGGAAAGCAAACATATATTCCTACTCCAACACTGTATAGGAAACTCCTGAGCTTAGCTGAGGAAAGCGAACATATATTCCTACTCCAACACTGTATAGAAAACTCCTAAGCTCAGCTGAGGAAAGCGAACATATATTCCTACTCCAACACTGTATAGCAAACTCCTGAGCTCAACTGAGGAAAGCGAACATATATTCCTACTCCGACACTGTATAGGAAACTCCTGAGCTCAGCTGAGGAAAGCAAACATATATTCCTGAGCTCAGCTGAGGAAAGCGAACATATATTCCTACTCCAACACTGTATAGGAAACTCCTGAGCTCAGCTGAGGAAAGCGAGCATATATTCCTACTCCAACACTGTATAGGAAACTCCTGAGCTCAGCTGAGGAAAGCGAGCATATATTCCTACTCCAACACTGTATAGGAAACTCCTGAGCTCAGCTGAGGAAAGCGAACATATATTCCTACTCCAACACTGTATAGGAAACTCCTGAGCTTAGCTGAGGAAAGCGAACATATATTCCTACTCCAACACTGTATAGGAAACTCCTGAGCTCAGCTGAGGAAAGCAAACATATATTCCTACTCCAACACTGTATAGGAAACTCCTAAGCTCAGCTGAGGAAAGCGAACATATATTCCTACTCCAACACTGTCTAGCAAACTCCTGAGCTCAACTGAGGAAAGCGAACATATATTCCTACTCCAACACTGTATAGGAAACTCCTGAGCTCAGCAGCTGAGGAAATCGATTACATATATTCCTACTCCGACACTGCTTACTCCACGAGATTTCCCCTCAGCAACCGAATCTCTCTCGAGAGCCAGAAGAAAATCCTCCAACTCGTTCCTTTTTGATGCACTTTTTTCCGAAACGATTGAAACC